TTAGATATTTGCCTTTATTAAAAATTACAGCTGTTCACATGTTGAACTTCTTTAATATAACAGAACCTCTTTGAGGAATAATTTTAAGAATTTGTAAACACTATCCCAAAACTTTGTTCTTATAAATGCATTACAAGTGCATCTTCTTTCTTTCGTGCCTAAGGCTCATTTTCATTATAATTTTGCTTTTGAGAAAAGTGGAGCTCTCATGATTGAGATCAGTCTTTTTGTTTTTAAACTAAATATAAGGCTGGATAATTGAGGTCAGTCTTTTACAGCTCTCACCCTGAAACCCTGAAATCCTGCAAGAGAAGAGATCCAGCCAGATAGATTTTGAAAGTGTGGGTGTAGATAAGACTTTTAATCTTTAGATTTTGGTAATACTTTTAAAATGAAGCTTTGAGAAGAAGTCTAGTGAGAAATAGTTTTAGGGGAAGTACTAAACACTCTTGGGGTTCCAGGTACATGCCATTTTCCTAGCCAGTAGTATCAAAGTGGAACACATTTGCAAAATAGTCTTCTGAATGTTGGCTTCAACTGCCTAACTTTATTTGAGAGTCACAGATGTCTCTTTTACAGAGGAGCTCAATCTGCCTGCAGACATTCCCAGCTACTTGTCTTCCCAAGGAACACTGTCTGAGCCACAGGAAGGGTACAGCAACTCTGAGGCAGGCAGTCATCAGCAACTTATGCCTCCTGTCAATGGATATATACACAAAGGCACTGATGGTAATGACTCTTTGTTATTCTTGGTTACAATTTCAGCCTATCCTATTGTTTATTTTTCAGTATGTAATTTCTCCATAATCTGAAGCAATATTTAAAAATTATATACTCAGTGAAAACATTTAGCCTCTTGCAAAGTAGGATGGAAGTGGACTAAAGTCTTAGCAAGAGAAGAAAATCATCTTACATCATCTTACAGAAAGCAGAAACACATCATCCTTAAATGAGAGATTGGAGTACACAGCAGAGGCTCCTAAACCTGTGTTATTATAGGAAGTGGATGTTCTGGAAACTTTTTTCAAGTGTCTCTTACCCTTTTCAGGCATGAGCATACTTCAGACGACATCCAGGGGAGGTTTGTTTCTCCTGCTGACAGGAGATATTCGGTAAAGTTTAAAGGGTAACTAGAAACTGGACACAGTGGGACACGCCTGTCGTCCCAGCTGCTTGGCAGGCTGAGGTGGGAGGATTGCTTGAGCCCAGGAGCTTGAGGCTTTAGTGCACTATGATTGGGCCTATACATAACCATTGTACTCTAGCTCGGGCATCATAGCAAGACCCCATCTCAAACAAACAAACAAACAAATAGATAAATAGTAGCAGTTGTTTTCATTATATATTGGAGAACATCAGAGAGTTATAAGCTATTTCCTAATTAAACAAATCTGGCATCTCAACACTACATCTCTTCCCTCTACCATTTCAACACCTTCACTGCCATGGGGAGTGACAGAACACAGGGAAGGGAATTAAGGGATAGAAGAGTTGGTTTGATTCCTAATTCTTCCTCTTTCAGCTCTGTGACCATGAACAATTTACTTAAGATCTAAGCTTCAGTTTCTTCGTTTTTAAGTAAAGAAATAATACATTATAAAGTACTTCCCCCAAGATTCTCATAGATTCTTTCAACAAATCTATGTGGTACTTCAAGTACCATGTGAATGAAAGATTTGTTCCATTTCTTCAGAGATTTTTTTTTTTAGGCTGGGTGTCAATAGAACTTTTCTATATAATTGATAAATTGAATTTTACTTTGGCTTTTCATGGAAAAGGGGGTATTTCTGACTTTTAAAAGAATATATAAAAGTCTCTACTCTTTGAAATTTGTGGGACATAACACCGCTTTCTGGGTTAAACTAAATTACTTCTAGTTTCTTCTAGTTCTAATATTCTGTTGCTTGATCTTGAATAAGTAACTCACTCTTTATTTCTCACTCTCTCTTCTCTCCTTCATCATTCAGTTTTCAAAGCACATAATAGTCCAGGGAGCTCATTATTAAAGCTTTACTTCTGTCAACCATACACTTGTCAGGCAAGACTCTTGACTGTCAGAGGCTTTCTCTCAGGATGCTTTTAGCAGTTAGTGTTACTTAACCTCTTAACTCATGAAAATAACATGGACTTTCATGAAGTGAAATCATTATAACTCCTCATTCTCTGCTTTACTTTGATGAAGCCAAGCATGTCTTACAGCACAGTGGCAGCCTTGTCTTGGCTCCCTTTTATTTGAGTATGACCTATCCAGGCTGGACAGAGATGATTCAGTGTAATATTCAAGAGCACAGGCTCTGGAGCCAGAATGCCTGGGTTCAAGTGTCTGTTCTTAACTCTGGCAATGTGACTTTGGTCAAGTTACTTAACTTTTCTGTGCTATACTTACTCTGTCTATAATGTGGGGAATAATAATACCTACCTCATAGGGATGTTGTGAAAAATAAATGAGTTAATTGACAGAAAGCTTGAAACTTCACCTGATTTATAAAGTCAGTGTTCCATAAATGCTAGCAATAATGATAATGACAACTGTTGAAGAAAACTGATGATTAGCAAAACTTATTCCTTAATGGAAGGATATTTGGATTCTTTCCCTTATTTTCGTTAGGTGGAACTGGTACCCGGGTGATCTGCTCAGATTGTTATGACAATGCCAACATCTACTCCAGGACCCGAGAATACTGTCCATATACTTACATTGCTGAGGAGGATGTTTTAGATCAGACACTGTCCAGCCTCATGGTCCAGATGCCCAAAGAGACATATTTAGCCCATCCTTCCCACAGTGCTGCTGTCCTGGAGAGCTTGATATCATCAGCAGACAGAGAGCTGTCTGCCTTTCCCACCAACCATGAGAGGATGAAGGAGAAGAAACTTTCCTCCACACAGATGAGCAGTGGTAAGGGGTTCATTTTTTTGTTGTTGTTTATTTTGTTTTCACTTTCACCTAATTTACTTTTCCTTCTATCAAATAGGCTGCACTCTCATTTGACAGGAAGCAAACAAATTGGTATACTGGAATAATTGGCCACTGTTAACTGGTGTAAACTAGAGCCAGAGATTTTTACATATTAGAGTTATTGTGGGGGTAACAAGATCACACTATTGAAAATTCAGAGGCCATACAGAAATAGCTTTTAAAAAGTTTCATATACTGCACTTGACCAGCAAAAAAAGAAAAAAGCAAAAATAAAGTTTCATACAGGGTATTGATAATTTTTCTTCCATCTTTATTTAAAATAAAGAATATAATTTGGACATAATTTTGTGAAAATTTTTACTGAGAAGATTTTAAAATGGTTTGTTTGGTTGCTGTTCTGTCAGGTAAGTATTTAGTCTCAGCATTGCTTGGAAGGTGTTTTCTTTATCCCATGGGTATGATTAGGTCCATAAGTGGGAAAGCAGTTTTGTCTTCTGTCCCACATGGCCCAAGAAAAGAAATACACATTATATTGTATACATTAGGCATTTGATAATAACTTGGCATTTGAAACAAAACTCTTTCTAGACCATGAAGGATACTACTGAGCATGTCTTCCTGTCCATCCAGGTTTTAAATCAGCTTTTATTTCCTGTCAGCCTGAAATGGAAGAGCACTGGAAATAGGGTGGGAGGTGAGAACTACAGGATTATACGGGAAGGCAAAGTATACAATGGTACTTCCACAGCTGGTTCAAGCAGGAGTAAATGATTTAATGTGGGTCTTAAGATGTGCTCTGTTGTTCTTTAAAGACCAACTCTAAAGATTTCTAAAGAAGGTACAGGTCAGAAAAAGTACTGTTATTGAAGTTAGTCTCTTATTTTTACATTCAGTATAGATGAAAGAAACACACCAACACTAAATCCATTTTTCCATGTCCTAGAAGAGTTACACAAATAAGGTTTAAGAAGAACCAAAAATGCAGTCCATCCTTTTTCTAATCTTAGGGATACCTTAATTTTTAATCTGGTCTGTAGGCGCATTGCCTACTGTTTACCAAAGTACTCTAGCTTCTTGTTACTCAAAGTGTGGTCTGTGGACTATCAGCATCACCATTACTTAGGAGCTTGTTAGAAATGCAAAGTCATGGTCCCACCCTAGACCTAGTGAATCAGAGTGTACATTTTAACAAGATCCTCAGGTTATTCCTGTGCATAGTAAAGCTTGAGAAACCCTGCTATAGCTTACATTTCACATGGATTTTATTTTTATTTTATTAGTATTTATTATTATTTCTAGGTGTTTGTTTATAATACATAAATAGGTACTGGCTGTTTTTTCCCAAAATTCGCCCCATGAAGTTAATACAACTTTTAGTACATGGTCCTTGGGACAGTAGCTCACAACTGCAGTAAACAAGAAGAACAAGAAATGTGCATTTTTGAAACCAAAGTGCAGATAATCTGATTTACTATAGCTGCTTTCAATTATTTGTTGTTAGAATTATTGACATGCTACAAGTTGGAAGGGAATGATTGTTTTTAAAACAACTTTATAATATATTTAAAGATATTCTCTATGTATCATGAGACTTTCATTACAGTATGGAAACCAGTAAGTCTCTTTTATTTCTTTTCTGTGTGTCTAAAGAGTTTTATTTTTAAATTTTTGTAGCAGCAGAACCACTAAAATAACACGTAAAGTGCATGATACATAGCATGGTCTCTGTATATAACTGGTTAGGTTTGTTGAGTAGAAAGATTTGAAAGACCATGTTCGGTTTTTATTTTGTTGTGGCTAGGAAGATGGCAAGTGTATGATCTCAATGTCCTTATTCAGGAATATTGGGCATCTTTATTTCTTCGAGGATTTGGTTAAAAAGACATTAGGTTTTAGAAAATTAATGTTGAACTTCTGGTCACCACTGATTATTCTTATCTTTCTTTCGCAGAAACATTGCAGCGGCCTCTGTGGAATGTAAACAGAGAACTAGGCCCACCTCATCCTCACTTTTCCCAGCAGCCAGTCCTTGAGTCACCACAACTTCATCAAAATGAGGGCCTGGCAGAGAGGGATCCAG